ACACCTGCAGATCGACCGCTTCCAGTTCGAACTCACCTGGAGGACATGGAGCACAACAACCACAACCACATCCACCTGAGGAGCAACGGGGGCACGGGAGACGCAGAGGAGAGAACAGAGGAGGAGGAGGAGGAAGGAGCTGAGGAAGAATACGAGGAGAATCACAACAGCAAACACAACGGGTTACAAAGTGAGGAAGAGGACGAGGAGGATGAGAATGGGGAAGGAAAAGGAGAAGAAGTAGAGGAGGTGAAGGACACTGAAGAGGAGGAGGAGGAATGTGAAGAGGAGGAAAGAGAAGAAGTAGAGGCAAAGGAGGAGGAGGGTGTAGAAGGAGAAGAGTAGAGGAGGTGAAGGACACATGAAGAGGAGGAAAGGAGAAGAAGAAGTAGAGGAGGTGCAGGACACTGAAGAGGAGGGAAGAGAGAAGAAGAAGAAGTAGAGGAGGTGAAGGACACTGAAGAGGAGGAAGGAGAAGAAGTAGAGGAGGTGAAGGACACTGAAGAGGAGGAAGGAGAAGAAGAAGAAGTAGAGGAGGTGAAGGACACTGAAGAGGAGGAAGGAGGAGGTGAAGTAAACGATGCAGCTGAGGAGGACGGAGGAGGTGAAGTAAACGATGCAGCTGAGGAGGAGGAGGAAACTCAAGAGGAGGAGGAAGAGGCTGAGCAACATCCTGAAGAAGAACAAGAGGATGGTGCAGAAGATAAGGATATGAATAAACGAGGGAGGAGGAGGCGAGGAAACTTGGGAACATGAAGATATAGATGGAGAACAAGAGGGAGAGGAAGGAGCTGAGGAGGAAGAGGAGCTGGAGGAAGAGGAGGAGGCAGCAGAAACGGAGGATAAAGTGGAGGAGGAGGTTGGAGAAACAGAAGAGGAAGAGGAGGAGAAAGAGGAAGAGGAGGAAAGTTAGTTGCGTCTAAAATATGATTTAACAGGTCAGTGAAAAGTGAGGGATTCAAAATGAAGCTGGAAAGACGGTTAATAGTAAGACTGTCATGAGGAAGAGGAGGAGGAAGAGGAGGAGTTGCTCTTCTCTTCTGAGGGCTGAACTGCAGACGTCTTCAACTCATTTCCGCAGCTGGCAGACGGACAGAGAGCAGCGTCTGCCTCCCGATCAGCTCGGATTGTTTCAGCGTCTCGATCGTCTGGTCGTGACAGAACGACGCCACGTCTTCATCTCCGAGTGTCTGTCCATCCATCACTGCCGTAGGGGACACAACGAGGGGATCATAAGACAATATGTGGGGGGGGATGGGGGCTGTTTTATCAACCTTTTGTATCAAAAAAAAGAAAACAACGCCCTGAAATGCGTACATGCAAATAAGTGTGTGCCTGTTCTCCAGATATACTACCCATCATCTCTGTCACCGTCTCTTTGTGAGGAAGACACACACACACACACTCACACACACGGCGACCAACAACTGTTTTAAAGAATGTCAACTTCCTCAGTGTGTCAGAAAAAATAAGCGTGTGGAAAGTGTCTGTCGTCTTATATATTTAATACAAAAACTTTCCACGTTGTGACGGGAACAGTTCCTCACAGAGCGACCTTGAAGCGACCTTAAAGCGACCTTAAAGCGACCTTGAAGCGACCTTGAAGCGACCATGCTGGATTTCTGAGTATTACATGGAGCGTTTCGTCCAAGTGGAAACATTTGCAATCCAGTTTCGAAAAAAGGCTGACCTGTTGTTCGTTGGTTCATGATGTCGGTTCATGTTTAAAGGGACAGTTCAACCCAAAAAGACAATTCGAACAATGTTTTTCCTCTCACCTGTAGTGCTGTTAATCAATCTAGATTGTTTTAGTGTGGGTTCTCTGTAGAAATCTCTGCCTTATTTTCAATATATTGCAAACAGATGGCACACATTTCACATAAAACAAACAATTAGCAGCACTATCACAAACAGCAATATCATTAACAGGGCATGTGCAAAAAGTGACTAGTAATTATTCTGTTTTTTTACAATTGCCATGCTTATGAAGGTAATCTAATTGTATGTGTATTTGTAGCACACACACACAGGTAGATTTAAAAACGTTTAAATACACTCATAATTGCGACATTGCTGTTAATATATTTCTTGTTTGTCACAAGTAAAGTGTCATGTTTTTTATTTATTGATTTGTTAATTTGACAAGGACAGAACACGATTGCATATTATTTAATTTAGGCATCAAGAGGAAGGTAACAAAAGCTGAAACATTACAACTACAAATCAGTAAGTTAAAAATACATAATGATAAATGTGAAGATAAAAGTGTTCGTATTTGAGGGAAGGCAGACATCTTTACGGCCTATATCTCAAATAATAGGCTACTTACATACAAACAATCTAGAAGGAACCGCACTACAGTTGAGAGGAACAACTTGGATTTTGGGGTGAAATGTCGCTTTAAATACAAATAAAAACACCCTATATTCATCCCTTCATCCCAGACTGTGAGTTTGATTCCCGGGTGAACCGTGCCAAACTAACCACTGAGCGTTTCAGCCTTCCTCCAAACAAGATGGCCGCTCAACCTGAAGCAATGCATTGTGGGACCAGGATAACGACGATGGGTGTGATAGTCTTCCACAAATCACTTTTTTCTTTCTATTGTTTTTTGTAAAAAATATTTGGCACTTTATCTAACACCCCTGTTACATATATGTACATAACAAACGTGTATTTTAATCTGCTGATGTCAAATAATAAATATGATAAATGAAATTCATGCTGCAGGTTCTCCGGAAAACCCTTTATCCTCTGAAAACTAATGGGAAGGATTTATCCACAAAGATAAAAAAGGACTTCTGGGTCCATGCTTTTGGGGTTTACCTGTAGTGTGTGATATGAGTTGTTTGTGCAAAGGCTAAAACCACAAAGTTCCTTTCAGAGGAAGTTTCTCTCTTCCGCACGTTTTGATTTGAGTTTGTTGTGCATGTCGCAGCAACGCTCCGGCACGAGTAGCGGTCTCAACGTTTAGGCAGGAGATGAAGAATAAGATGATGCAGAATAATAGTGAGAAACCGAGTTTCAATTTGTTTTGCTTACAGACATAATTTGTATTTATGACATATGGCAGGGTAAACACTGTAGCACTGACAGACATAAGGCACACAAGAACATACATATTCACTTTGGCTTTAAAGGTCCCCTATTATACTATTTGTCAACAATATTTTACAGGTCTCAGATTTATACAGAACATGTCTCTGAAGTGTTTGGCTCGAAATACCAAACAGATCATTGCAGCATCCCATAATCCCCTCTGTTTCAGCCCTGTTTCAAAAGTGCTGATTCTGTGTCTGTAGCTTTAAATGCTAATGAGCTGCTGCTGGCCACGCCCCTCTGATACATGATTGGTTTAAAAAACACAATGGTGCTCTCGGATGAGATTCAGCTGATAAGCTGTGTGGGGGGTTACCTTGGTTGCTGATTGGCTAATGGTTACACAAGCCAAAACATCGTTATGACATCACAAAGTGGCCAAAATCTGTTCAGCTCATTTTCAGACAGGTTTTTATAGAAATGGATCAGGACAAAAAGAGGCAATCTTTTTTCCTGAAACTTTCAGAATCTCTTTCCACAGAGGGGACACATGTTGAAGTAGAAGAGACATGGAAAAAGTGGATTACGCATAATAGGTGACCTTTAAGTCGTTCAGAAATATTCTGACAAACTTTAAGTGCAGCCTGTTTTTAACTTCTGACAGTGATGGGTGATTCAGATTCAACGAATGTTCCTCTGGGCTCAAAACACAACATGATGTCAGTGCAATGGTACCATTATGTTTCTTAACACTTGAAGAACCTGAAGCAAAAGAAAAGGCACTACAATACCTGCAAATATAAAACATTTTCTCACACATGTATTCCTTAAGACAACCTTACTCTTAATAAATACATATTAAAAACACAACTTCCATCTTAAGGCACTTGAGAGAAGGCTTTGAACATAATGTACGTGCAGACATTTAACCAGCTGCATGTCAGTGGTATTGGTTCAATACACACCTTATTATCAAACTGCACTTTAATGCAGGAATAGCAAAATACTGAAAGTAATCTCCTGAACTTTTAACATTTGTATCTTTTAAAAAGAGTTGCTCTTAGAGTCATTTCTATCCTTCCAAGATGATTTTGGCTTTATTGTATCAGAAAACACTATCTTATAATCCTGAAAATACAGATATATTTTCAGTTTGTTTCTTTGGTTACTTCACTAGGCGTTGTCACAAGTTTCCCACACTTTTGTCCATTTTTTTTTCACTTTACTCTTCAGATCTTGATCTTTTTCTTTTTTTTATCCGAGTATCCAAAGTGTTTTCAGTGTCTGATCAAAGAGGTCCAGTCAGGAAAGTTGTCGATCTCCCCGGTCTCATTCAGATGTTGGTCTCCATGTGTCATTGTCAGTTTGTAGCGTAGACGCAACTTTCGCTGAAGAGAAGAGGGAGACATGACACATGTAGTTGGATAACTGAACACATCAATGATCAACAGCAAATGAACATTGTGTTCATGAGGTCACAGTGACCTTTTAAAAAAATCACAAATCCAAAACAGTTCATCTTTCGGTCCAAGTGGACGTTGAAGAAATGTGTAAAATTGCGTTGTAAGAAAATTGTATATAAGAACATAAGGGATGCAAGGCCAACCCTGAACCATAGTGATGTATGAAGTATGCCATGGAAATGTTATGTTATAGTATACCATAACAATATCACATACAATTAAAGAATAGAAGAAGAGTTTGACTAATTTGACTAAGATTCAGTGATAAAAAATGTCATATCTCTTGAAAGCTTGGTGCTATTGCTACACATCTAACTTTGAGACAAGATGTGTGTGTGTGTGTGTGTCCTAGCATTACTATCCTTGTGGGGACCTAAATCTGTTTACAGTCACGTGTGGGGACTCACCTCCCCATGAGGGAAATAATTAATTTTAGGGTGAAGACTTGGTCTTGGTTATGGTTAAGGTTAGGATAAGTCTCTGTCTGTCTGTGTGTGTGTGTGTGTGTGTGTGGTGTGTGTGTGTGTGTGTGTGTGTGTGTGTGTGTGTGTGTGTGTGTGTGTGTGTGTGTGTGTGTGTGTGTGTGTGTGTGGTGTGTGTGTGTGTGTGTGTGTGTTGTGTGTGTGTGTGTGTGTGTGTGTGTGTGTGTGTGTACCGACATCTAGAGCAGGTGTGGACAGGAGGACGTGTGTGGACTGAGTGACATCTGCAGCGTGGAGGCTGTTGTGGTACGGTATGTTTATGTATGGTATTAATCATTAGTCAAATTATACTAATACTGGGGGGGGGGGTTAATGTAATTCAACCGCCCTGTTAACTCACCTTCTGAGGGTTATCCAGCAGGAGGACCTGAGAAACGGCAGGTGGAGGCAGCAGAGGGTTGTACGGAGGGAGGGTGAGTCCCAGAGGCCGGCTGAAGTTTCACTAACATCGTCTGAGAGAGGAAATAAACTGACAATTATATGGATATTCAACTCATAAATGGAAAACAGGTCAGCACAGCTCAAACCGCTAAAAGCTCAGGAAGAAAGTGTGTGTGGGAATGTGCATAACACATTGTTCATGAGATGGAAAATCTGAAGTGGGTGTCTCCAGCAGGGGGCGTCAGTGGCAATCAATTAAATCTGATATCTCATGGGTTATTTTACAATTAGACAAACACACTTAACTTTTCCAGGAGTTGTTTTGCATTGATGAAAAATTATTTGTATGTAAAAACATACTTGTAAATGTGATTCAGATTTCTGATGAAATGTTGCCTTGTCAAACACGTCAATCAAAATGAGCTTGAATTCCCACTTGCTCCTCATGTTCAAAAGGTTGTTTTGAAAAAACAACGTAGCTTTAACTTTCACAACGTTTTACAAGTTTAAATCTGAAATAACGATCTGTACCACTGTCTGATATTGATGATACTCGCTCGCACAAAAAAAAAAAAAAAAAAAAAAAATTGTATTTCCTTTTTTTAAGAGATTATGTTTTCTACCTTTGGAACAGCAGCTTGAAACAGGAAGTCTTTAACTTGGAGGGCAGATGTGTTCACGGTGGAGGAGACGACCACAGCAACACCAGGATAACCCAGCGGAGAGACTCTGGCAAAATGTAGAGACACGTGGACGCCGCCATGATCATACACAGTGATCGGCTCAAGATTACCTACAAAAAAATATAAAATAACAGTGATTTGGACGGTAAATTCAGAAGTAAATAAACACGTAACAGAGAAATCGTACGGAGAAAAACACCAGTAGGAAAACAGTACTGTAACACACAGAGTAACACAGCTGTTTCTCCTTATGAACTCACTGGGTTTGATGGTGTGAACGGGAACAAAGATGTTTTTTAATAGTCGCGGTGTCAACAAGCTCTCCTTTTTTTCTGGAGATCCCGACATTTCACTGAGTTGTTTCTGATTCTCGGACAGTGATCCTGACTCTGTGAACTGTTGATGGTGAGGGAGTGACCTGAAGAAAGAAGACATCGTCAAACATTACGTTTAGGATATAACAAAGATGACATTTGAGCAGTGGTAAGTGAAGTACTTAGATTGTGTACTTAAGTTAAGTATTAGTACCAGAGTGTAGGAATACTCTGCTGCAAGTAAAAGCCCTGCATTCAAAATGTTGCTCAAGTAAAAGTACAAAAGTATTAGCATCGAAATATACTTAAAGTACCAAAGGTAGTCATTGTGCAGATTGGCCCCATTTCAGAATAATATATATGTTTTGATTATAATTATTGATAATTAAAGTGTTATCAAAGCTGGTAAAGGTGCAGCAAGTAACTTAAGGTATTAAATAATTGTAGTGGAGTAGTAGCATAAAATGGAAATACTCGTACAAGTATCTCAAAATTGTACTTAAGTACAGAACTTGAGTAAATGTACTTGTTACTTGTATGTATGTATTAACATTAATGCACAACACAACACAAATAATCGTGATAAGGATACATCTAAGTATCTACATTAACATTTGAAAAGGTGATTCCTACTATACATTATTTTATGTGAAGAAAGTTTGGGGCTCTCTGCTGGAACTGCTACCCCCGTGATCCGACCACGGATAAGCGGGAGAAGATGGATGGATGGATTTATTTTGTATTTTCACTGTCTATCCTCCCATAATCATTTAAATACTAATTATTTACCAGCACACTATTGAAATTACAATTGGGATTAGAGTGTAAACTATATCAGTAGATGTTTGACTTTTTTTATTTCTCCATATATATATACATACAGTACGCCAAAACCAAAGCATTACTGTATCTCCAAAAGTATATTTCTTTTCTCAATCTTTACCAGATATTCGTCCCATTCGATGTCGCGCTGCTGCCCCCACATCCACGGGCTCTCAGAACGACGCCTCTGCCTCCGTTCTGCTCAGCGTGGTTAATCTGAAACTCTCCATTTAGCTGAAACAAGAAGAATTAACAGTGTTAAACACATGAAATAAAATCTCAGTTAAACTCTTTAACGTAACATCGGAGCCTCACCTGCAGCAGATCTTCAGAGTACGACCGTGAAGTCTCTTGTTTTGAGACGTGATTATTTTGTAACTCTGTAATCACAGTACAGAACAACATCACATTATAAGACATTACTTTCACAATCAGAAACCTTTATTTGCCTTACAGCGGGAACATTTACATTCTTATGTCATATGAGATAAGAACACATCCAAGGTAAAACACATAAGCAGTACTACTTGCACTATTTTAACTATGTTATCTGTTATATTCTGTTGCACTGTTGGAGGAGCCTGTGACCTAAGATTTTCCTTGACATATCTACACTGTAGCTATGTACACATGACAATAAGAGCCTTGAAACTTGAAAAGTAACAGCCAGTAATAACGTTATTTTGCATTAGGAGCAAACTGCAGGTCTACCTGGTTCATTGAAGTCCTGGTCAGCGTCTGAGTTAAAGCTACTTTCCAGGAAAAGAGGGAAACATGGGAGAAGATGATTCAAAAGATGGCAGTGAATCAGCCTTTTCTGTGCGTCTGTGGAGAGTCCAGTGCTGACAGGTCGATAAGGTGGTAGCTTTTAATCTCTCTGGGACTCTTTGGAGCTGGAGGAATAAGAAGAAACACGTTTCAAATACAAAGCAGTGCCAAACACAAGGTCAAACTTATATCCACAGGGACAGAAACAATGAAAAAAGGGGAACAAATCAGGCCTCCTTACCCCATTATTATTCCGCTCCATTTCGTCCTCACTTCTGCTTCTTTCTCTTCCGCCGTTACACTCTCTCTTTCCCACTTTGGTTTTGTAATCGTTTACCACAAGTGTTAGCTCGTCGTTAGCCGCCAGGATCTGCACCAGAGCCACGTCCTCGTCCATCGTTTCGCTGGCCAGGCGGAACAAGCTGGGCCTCAGCCGGTCGCAGCGCTCATACAGGGCCTGCAGCGACAATCATGAGTTACACTTCCACACAAACACATTATCCTCCACAGTGAGAGGAAACATGTGTAGGTTTATTGGGCCCAGACAGTATTATTCTTATATATATTATTTTGATAGTCTATATCAGTGGTCCTAAAACTTTTTTCAATAATGTACCCCCTTTGAAAAAAAAATTCAGCCAAGTACCCCCTGATCAGCGCAGAAACTATGGTTAGGGGGGAAATGCCTTTATAAAGAGGTACAGTACAGTGCTGCACCATCAGTGTCTGATTTATTAAAACAACAACATTGTAACTGAGAAAAACCTAAATGCTACATTTCAAATGTTTACAATCCATCACTAAATTCATGGCAAACCAATTTTAACATCATGCAATAACACTAAGACGACATTAGTTGCATTGAACTGATCTTTTTAATAAGTTGTACTTACAATTTAGTGAGAAATATGGGCTTGTGCTTCACTGAGGATCTTTGTCATTCTGACAAGAGGCAACTGCGGTTATTACACTTTACGTTTTGAAATATGTAACTCTGTTAATATAAAACCCACACTGCTCAAACTTCGTTACTTTTCCTAAAATTAGTATATTTATTTATTTTGGGGCGTGGGGAATGAAGAGAAAAAGATATATGAGCATTTTATGAGCATGGGATTTTGACTCCTCATATAAACATATGCTATACTTTGCGGCCACACGCCGTTGCCAAGCAACGCTTATTGTTTAGGTCCTTTGATAAGCAGGCAGTCATATCATTAACTAGAACTAGCTAGATCTGATAGATTTGGACAAAAACGCGAGTGAAGTCTAACCGGATGCGAGAGAGAGAGAGAGAGAGAGAGAGAGAGAGAGAGAGAGAGAGAGAGAGAGAGAGAGAGAGAGAGAGAGAGAGAGAGAGAGAGAGAGAGATCAGAGATCAGGGATCAGATCAGCTGCTGCTGACGGAGAACACGCAGCTCTGCATGATCACAGCTCCGTCCGCTGTGACGGACCGTTGAGCGGAGGAAAATACACTAAGAGTTAGACCTAACACACTTAGCTAGTTTATCTACTCTGGAACTAGCTAAAATAGTTATACATTTATTCTTTACTGTCGGGTCACTTATTACAGGTTCAGCGAGCTGCACGAGCCTGACGAGCTGTCAGGAGAGGGAGAGGAAAAGAGAGCATCCCGTTTATTGTTCCCATTTTATTATCCAGAATTACTGTACACTTTTGAAGAAAGTAGTTAATCTATTATTAGTAGTTTGTTTAAATGCATTAATTACGTTTTTTTTTTCATTAACATAAAATAAATCTCACGTACCCCCTGCAGTACTCCAACGTACCCCTAGGGGTCCGCGTACCTCCATTTGAGAACCACTGGTCTATATCAATGGAGGAATAATATATAAAAATAACTTTAATTTTAGTCCATAAACATTTCAACATTAAATCATTCAAGCACTTGTATGAAAATGTATCTGACAAAAAAATAATAATAATATATTGTTTTCTACTGTGGTCAAAAAAAGTTGCAAAAATGTGAGGCACATTTATTAAAGAAAGTTGATTTAATATTAAAATACTAAATAATTCAATCAAGTAAATTACTTCACTAAGGTTTTGTTGAGGATCTTTTTATTGTATTTCTGAAGGGTCATGATCTCATTAAATATGATAACAGGAGTAGCCTACTGTATAAAGCTTCTTTTTTTTTTAAACGAAATATAAGCTCTTACGTAGAAAATGACATTCAATCGGTGGCGCTGAAGTGCAAAACACAACAGCATTTCACAAAACGCCACAGCATTTCACAAAACGCCACAGCATTTCACAAAACGCCATAGCATTTCACAAAACGCCACAGCATTTCACAAAACGCCACAGCATTTCACATTGGACAGAAAGGGTATTCCTTAGGGAGAACACTTCTTGTTTGTGATTGGACAGAGCCAGCCAGAGAAGCACTGCTGTGATTGGTTGTTTTTTGCTGCCAGTCAATAAATGACGCTTCGTGATTGGCCCAACACATCAGCCGTTAGCTGTTAGCACACACTCAGAGCTCACAGCTCCTCATATCTGTTCAGAAACTGGACAAAAGTTAAACATATACAAAACACAGACTGTCTGTGTCATGGTGAATACAGTCGCTGCTTTATTTATGTCTGTATGACGTTGTTGTGAGTGTGGACGGAGCAGCTACAGGTTAGTTTAGCCTGGTCGATCCGATTCCGATAGGATTTACATGGAGATACAGCCCGCCCCCTCTCCAGCGTCTTGTTTGAATGACAGGAGTAAACACAGAATTAATGCTTTATTAATTCATGGTTTTTAAGGGGCTTATCTCCATGTAAATACCAGTAGCGTGGCGTGGGGAAAAATGTAGGGGAAGCCCATTTTTTGGGTCGGGGGGTGGTCAATAACGTAACCAGATGAGTGATTACAGCGCCCGGTATCATTTTACACACATTGGTATCACACAGATGCAGGACTTGCACACGCCTGTTATCTAACCGACAGGTCCGCACGCACTCTCCAGCTGAAACTCTCTCCTTATTAATTTAAGCATTTTACTTATTAATGTATGCAGACAATCACACAATCTATGTGATTTTTGGATTTACCGTGCCTCTCAATGCCCGTGACAGGTTGGCAAGGTCGATGAATCCTGAAGTTGCCCAAGGATTGTTCAGGGAGCACGAATCCTTGTCAAAAAGAAGACATGGCCAGCAAATTAGACGCTGAAGTTTAGCGCTTCCAGTTAGCCACTCCGTGCGGACATAATTGTCCTCATTGAACGTCCGATTCTCTCCCTTTTTCCTCTGCGTACACAGCTCGAGTGCGGGCATTGGCCTGTCATCTGATTTAATTTGTAGTTGCTGCTGTAGCGGAAGTTTAGTAAAGTTATGTTTGATTAAGTACGCCAAATCTCCACCCTCCATAATACTTCATTTGCTTGATAATTTCTAACGGCGGTGATGACAGTTACAGTATTAAAACTGATGTTGATGTGATTTGATTGGATGGCAGTGTCCAATCAAATCGCCAGCCGCCAGCCGCCTCTGAAGGGAAGCAAGAGGCGGCTAGCTTCCCTTGGCATGGCCCTGACCAATCACAGGTTGGCAGGGGCATCACGTGGGGCCTCATCTGATTGGTCAATCCCTCCATTTTTTTTTCACCAAGGGAAGCTAGATTCGGCTGGCCTCCTCTCGCAACAGTGAGTGCAATCTACTGTTTCACCATAACATCTAGAGGGGCGCTGTTTGTTTCACTCTTTGTAAAATACTCAATGAGAATGGGGGAGAGCCGGGCCGGCAGCAACACACAGCAAAGGAGAATTATCGAAACAAAACAAAGTGTTTGTATTTATTTATTTAAATTATAACTACAATCCGAAAAAACAGGGGAAGCCTGGCTTCCCTTGGCCTCCGGGAGAAAACGCCACTGGTAAATACTATGGTAGACCACCCAATATTCGCATGCTCTAATCGCTCGAGTTTCACCGCGGCTGTCAGCTGTGTTTGCTCCTGTCATTCAAACAAGACGCACTGGAGAGGGGGCGGGGCGTATCTCCGTGTAAATCCTATGGGAGATACCAACTACAACAAAATGAACATATTTGACCGTGATTTAATTGTAATACACGTTTCAAAGTGATGCCGAAGTAACTACATACTGATACCGGTTAGTAAAAACCATGAATTAACGCTTTGACAAGTCTGCAGACAAGACGGCAGGCGAAAAGCTTTTAAAATGCGTGTTTTCTGAATGGAATCGGATCCATCAGGCTGAGCTAATCTGTAGCTGCTCCGTCCACACTCACAACAACGTCATACAGACATAATAAAGCAGCGACTGTATTCGCCATGACACAGACAGTCTGTGGTTTGTACATGTTTAACTTTTGTCCAGTTTCTGAACAGATATGAGGAGCTGTGAGCTCTGAGTGTGTGCTAACGGCTGATGTGTTATCATTGGCAACATAGACTGGTTGGTAGGCAATCACGAAGCGTCATTTCTTGACTGGCAGCAAAAACAACCAATCACAGCAGTGCTTCTCTGGTTGGCTCTGTCCAATCACAAACAAGAAGTGTTCTCCCTAAAGGAATACCCTTTCCGTCCAATGTGAAATGCTGTGGTGTTTTCTGAAATGCTGTGGTGTCTTGCACTTCAGAGCCACCGTACAATACGCTGCTATCAGGGTCACAATATAACTCTTGTTACAACAGCATTTATTTGATTTAAAAGTTAAGCAACTTTTGACCAAAAAAATCACAAATCAGTGTTTTGTGGTTTTACATTTTCAGCGAAAGTTGGTGGTGTGAACTCTCAAAGTAAAAAGCCAGTAGAGGGCTATACAGAACCAGGACTCGCAACCAATCTAGCTTTTGTGGTCTGCCCTGAACAGCTGTTTTATATCTGTCTCTGTGTAAGATGCAGGGGTGGGAAGTAGTGGAGTACAAATACTTTGTTACTATACTTAAGTAAGTACATTTTTCTGGTATCAGTACTTTCTGACAACTTTTTACTTCTTACATGTTGAACACAAATACCTGTACTTTCTACTTCTTACATTTTCCAAACAGGCTGGTTCCTTTAGTTTGAATGTGTGTTTGGTGGCGTGATCATTATTATTTAGAGTCATTGCGTGCCTATTGATTTGAACACGATCCGTGTATCCATCATTTCCTGGTCTTCTCTAAAGAAGAGGGACCAATGGAAACGTTGTCATGTTGCCGTTGTTCAGCATGGAAACATTCATTAGCTAACAATGACATTAGTTCTATTAATATAAAGGGAGGTCAGGTACTCTTTAAAACAGCTGGTAGTTATGGGTACTTTTTACTTAAGGACATTTCAAAGCCCATACTTCTTTACTTTTACTTGAGTAAAGAAGTTTAGTCAGTACTTCAACTTTTACCAGAGTATTTGTAAACACGAGTATCTGTACTTCTGCTTGAGTAAAGAACGTGTTTACTTTTGTAGATGTGTGTAATTTTGCCATCTCTGGTATGATGTGTGTGATGTGTGTGATGTTCAGCGTACCTTCATGTCGTCGCTGGGCTGTAGCGTTGCTCCGGTGATGGTGTTCTGCTGCAGGAGTTCTCGGAGCTGTTTGGTGCTGCTCTCCACATCCTGCAGAGCGGACTCTCGCTTTGTCACTTTCTCTGCTTTCTCCTGCTCCTAAAACACACACACATCAAATCAAATTAATATCAAACTCATACAATCAGAAATGCATGCATGAACAGATCAGCCGCAGCACTGCTCACCTCCTGGATGGTGCTCTTAATGAGTCGGTTGGCCGTCTCCAGGTCTTCAGGACGAGCACTTTTCAACAGTCTGGCTAATAACTGAGGACACGGAAATACAGCTTTAGTGCGATGAAAGTTAATGTTACATCATCAGATATTAAACACTGACTCACCGTGGCTTTGTCCTCCTGGTCAAAAACGGACTCTTTATTTCTCTGTGTCGGAGGCGCCATTATTAATGTGTCCGGCAGTTTGGGGTCTTTCTTTACAATACCTGAAATAACAAAATGTAGGGTAATATCGATTAAACGTTGGGAAAATAACTTCCAACTAGGCATGCAGGTGATATATGTTTTCAAGGAAATGCAATGTCTAATGTCTTTGTATTATGAGATCACCCTAAAAAAACAACAATTAAAAATCGAAACAAAATCAAAATGTTGAATTCATTTCAATTTTCTAAACTGCTTTTTCGCAACAAATGTTAAGAGTTTTGGACAATTCAACACACTGTAATGTAACTGTGGAAACAACCTACTACTACTTATATTAGTTTAGCCAAATCTTTATCTGTATCAGTGTAAAAGTTTGATTCAACATTATAAATGAGGCTTTGAACTATTCAGTACATCTCCAGACTACTCATGAAGTTGGAATCAAAACAAACAAACAAAAAGGCGAATTTGAAGTTGCATATTTGCATAGTGGTGCAAACGATAAGGCCCTTAATCAAATATGAGTTGGCACTTTACACCTACAGTAGATCCAATCAAAACAACTACAAACACATATGTACGGGCCAATACATCACGTGAATAACTTCAGTGTATTGTATTATATGTTGGATTGTTGGAGGAGCTCAGGTCAGAAGATTGCCATTTCTACACTGTAGCTTTGTGCAGATGACAATAAGAGTGTTCTAGTGCATGAACCCTGACCTTGTTTCTTGAGCATGCCGTAGGCCTCGAGGATCTTTGGTTCTTCTTTGAGCCACAGAGTCCAGCCGTACAGGATCTCCGTCACTCTGTCCTTCACTTTCTGAGGAGTCCACGCTCCAAAGTACTGCTCAACCAAACATTCCTTATTTTAGTCACATCACTGTTGTTCCTCAGAGAGAGAGACTTTAAAAAACACGTATTAGCCTTTTAACTTTTATTCATGTTGATCGGTATTGTTCTATTACTTTTCTATTTATTCAATATATTTGTGTACATATTAATATGATGCATGTTTATGTTGTTTAGTAGATTCAATTATTTGTTAATTCACTATTTTAACTGAAAGATCTCAGTAGGTTTTTGTTTACATTATTGACTATAATTGTAATATTAGTATGAGTTTACCAGATGAGAGTCTGTAAATCAAAACGTAGTTTATCAGTGGATGTTTGCAGGAACTACTTGTTAACAGCGTGTTTCCTGACGGACACACACAGCGTGACTCCGGTCAGGTAGAGACCGGTCTCAAGTCAGCACCGCTGCAGACTCGCTGTTTGAGGGCTTGATAGCCCACTCCCCCTCCACACCCCTCCACACCGCTCCACACTCGTTGGTTTGGAACAGCACTTGGAGGGGTAGTGTGTAGGGGTAGGGTGTAGCGCGTGGTTTGGGATTGGGCCATAGTGTGTCGGATTTGTGTGGTTGCTTCACTTATCAATTTTAATTCAAGTTAGTGTTTGAATCGTTAGCTTTTCATTTATTAATGCCGTCTTCTATATTCCCAATGGATTTTAAACGGCTTCTCAAAACTGTTTTTGTACTTTTGAAAAAAAAGATCTTTGAATTTGACTGTTTATTTCATTTCATTACATTACTCATAGTTTTTGTTAATTAATTGTACCATTTGTTGGTTTCTCTTTGCTGTCTTGCATGAATCACTTTTTAACTTGGGTTTTGAAAAGGGCCTTAGAAATGAAGGTTATTATTATTATTATTATTATTAATTATACATATAATTAAACGCAGCACACTCACACGAATCTCAAGTAAAAACAATTACATTATTTAGTTTTATATGGCCTGAATTAACTCAAAACAACAAACACATATTATTACGTATGAGATTTGATAATGTCCTCAATGAAATTAAATGAAACTGAAATGCACAGACAGGAAACACCGGTCTCTCCATCATTACCTTTGGAGTCAACAGTTTGATGAGCTCGTTCAGAAAGCGAAACTTGGCGGCCTCGCTGTGAAACCTTTTCCCGCAGTTGTTCATACACGCCTCGAGGACCTGGAAAGCACCAAATCATGGAACATCAACAGAAGCTTTTTCAAGAAGTGAAAATGAAAGAAAAAAAAGTCTCCTGGCTTTGACACGACAGAAAAAACAAAGAGATTTGGCAGTGCACGTTTTCGCGGTTAACCTTTAAATGTCACACAACGTTAGGGACATGAAGCTTGCTCTCATTTTGAATTACCCTGCACATCTCTTTGATGTATACATGTCTGAATGATAAATACCTTAGCTGTCACAGCAGATTCAATATGCATATTAAATCCCCCTCATCACTTGCTTCTTGTGATAAAAGTTAGTCACAGATATTTTCCACAGGACCGCCCCCCCCCAGCGTTAAAACAAAGGCCTTTGTTTCTTAATGAATGGTCCGTAAACCTTATAGATGACCGTGTGTAACCCGTGATGAAATGCATTCAATGAAAAACCCATGTCTACTTACTGCATGTGCACACTAGATGTATATTGTATTTCCTGTAACTTACTATTAAATGTATGGTTCAAATATAAAACGTAGGGCTAAAGTAGTGGCTTGCTGCTTCTGGGGACTTCCCAGACAAACAAACAGGATATTTAACAATACATTAAATTAAACTGTGAATAACATGAAGACATGTGATACTCACAGTGAGAGCCTGCAGAGACTCCTTCTCCTGTGGCGACTGGATTTTATGGGCAAGAAGGCGAATGGCTACCTGTGGTCTGAAAGTGGAAACAAATTAGATTTAAAATCACATTTAAAGGCTCGAGTAGAGCAAAGAACATGTTGTGCTGACAATCAAAGAAGTACACTTCCCATAGCTTCCACACATTGCCATGCGTGAGTTAAGCTAATAGATAGGAATCAAAAGCTTAAGAAGTTAATTTAACATACAGTATATTCTTGCTATAGACGCTAATGCCTCGCTGAAAGCTCCTGAGGCGTTGATAACTGTCTCTGATGCATGTCTAATGAATTAAAGCAGAACAACACTCACACTGTTTATTTTCCTGTCAACTTCTTGTCAATTAAACTCAAAATATTTGTAATAAGATACAAACAATGACGTTCAGAACCACGAAAGGAGGGGGTGGGCGATATGTCCCCAAATAAAAGATTATACTCGATCTTTCCTGCCAGTTTTGTTTGTCTTTCATTTAAAACAATGGGACAAAATACTGTGCAAATGATCGGTAATAATATAACCAAAGATTTTCTTCATCTTGGTGTGTCACTAACTCTGTTTGACTAAAACCAGGCATATACAGTAAATATTGGTATATATGCAATATATACATTATTATATACATATGCTATTAATAACCGTGTAATTGCTAAATCCAAAGAACTGTTACAGGATTTGTGTTTTGAAAAGTTTTTTTTATTATATTTTTTATTATATCATAACTTAGTACTTTTTTTAACATATGTTACATTAACCTGTCTGTGGCTCTTTCCTGCTGTAACGATGCAAATGTCCCCTCTGTGGGACTAATAAAGGTATTCTGATATATCGTCATATTGCCCAGCCCTAGTTCCTACTTACAGTAAGTGCTAATTGGCAACTGGACTTGCTTTTAATTAACGTTACATTCATATTAAAAGGGTCAAAAGTGTAAATGGTGCTGCAGACTTCCTCCTTCCTCTTGCACAGTCTTGAAACTGAGAAGGTGTGATGGCAACATGGACGTGAAGCAACTCTTTCTCAAACCCCAGCATTGCGTTAACTTCTAGAAGCACGAGGCCTTCCTTGAAAACGTTAGCCCATGCAGCACATGGAGTAGGTACAAATAAGGAGAATCTTGTTCAGTTTACCCATCCGTTTCTTGGTCTACGAGCCGGTAGAAGCTCTGGATGCAGTCCCATCTGTCCTGCTCATTGTTGGGGTCTGTGGCCTGGTCTGGAACCAAAAAGACACCAGAGAAAAAGGTTAAACGACCCCAAAAAACAAATGTGCCACAACTATATTAAATACATGCAAAAAGCTAAATAACTTTGATGAGGAAGTGAAAATGAAACACACAGAAAAACAGGGAAACGATAATACTGTAAGGTGTGCTAAGTATACTTTCCAGATGTGGAGTGTAACAATAGATTAACTTTTCCTTTCATTTATTTGTTTAAGGTTAAAATTGTGTCATTTTTTAAGCTTGTTTCGTTCAACCGATGTTTCAAAAGACCAGTAATATATTTATTTTGCTTTATAAATAACCTGAATGATGAGGTTTGATGAGTTAGTTATATATTATGATCTTATCTTAGAAGCTTAAATATATGTTTAAATGCAGTTCTTATATCCTAATTGTGTATTTTTCCATACTAGTATTCCTACTTTAACAGAAATAAAAAAGAAAGTTCATCAAGTTTTATAAAAATGTTTTGCCAGAATGCGCGTTCACGTCAGGAGTGCATACATATATAGAGCGCTCGTTGGGTACGCGCACGTAACCAACTTCCTGCTGAAACTTTTTGCACAAACTCTTTAAAAACAAAGTTAAAAACATCAACACATTCAGAATGTATTCGCCAAAGTATCGCGATATTATGAAAACACAAGTACAACTGGCGTCACTAGACAAGTTAGTAAACAGCTGCGTTAAAAAATTCAAATACGTGAGGATGAGACGTTGGATAAACAAGTAAGAAGCTAAGAAAAACAACACATTTGAGTTATTTTCTCCCGTTTACTTACTGAGCCATGACTCAAAGGTTGCCGTGTTGTCTCCGGTCGCCATGTCTTCGGTTCTCCTCGGTTCTCCTGCGGGTGCTGAGGTCTTCACTAGCCGCTGTGAGTGCGTCCTTCTGGGGAAGCGGAGGTGTCAAACTGCAGCCTGTCTGCAGAGACATGTGACACTCACACCCCGTCGCACTCCTGACACACAAATTATATTACACGCACACACATACACACTCGCAAACACACACACACTGCAGTGGAAGAAAAAAGAAAACTACTTATTACAATAGCGTACATAGTTGTCATAAATAATATTATTCTTTTACATTTAGTAAGATGGAATTGTCCCCTAATAGTGTATATTTGACTTTTTAGTTATGTTTTATTTTCTGTTTTGAGATGTTTATAGGTTATGTTTTTTTTCTAATATTTTTCCTATTCACATAATGTGCAATGACTTGTATACATGCTGCTTTGGATTATTGAAGTCAATCTAATCTAATAATTTATTAACATGTCTACTTATATTTAATTATGTATATTTTAAGTTTTTTTAGTAACAGATTGATCCACTAGAGCAGGGGTATCAAACTCAAATACACAGTGGGCCAAAATAAAAAAATCAGTACTAGAAGAGGGCCGGACTGGTTCAATGTTTATTGCAGAATTTATTGAAATGAACTTATTGCACATATTAAACCTGGAACTAACAAAGCTTAAATTATTGCCAATAAAAACAACATTAAACATTAAATAATCAGTTGCATTCATTTCTTATGGCTCTGTCCGAGTCATTTCTTATGATTACATTTTTCCACAGGCCAACAAGATTAAAAAAAACAATTTCCATCCATCCATCCATCTTCTCCCGCTTATCCGTGGTCGGGTCGCGGGGGTAGCAGTTCCAGCAGAGAGCCCCAAACTTCCCTTTCCCTGGCGACATCAACCAGCTCTGACTGGGGGATCCCAAGGCCCTCCCAGGCCAGCGAAGAGATATAATCCCTCCACCTGGTCCTAGGTCTACCCCTTGGTCTCTTCCCAGCTGGACGTGCCTGGAACACCTCCCTAGGGAGGCGCCCAGGTGGCATCCTAACTAGGTGCCCGAACCACCTCAACTGGCTCCTTTCGACGCGAAGGAGGAGCGGCTCAACTCCGAGTCCCTCCCGGATGACTGAACTTCTCACCTTATCCCTAAGGGAGACACCAGCCACCCTGCGGAGAAAACCCATCTCGGCCGCTTGTATCCGCGATCTCGTTCTTTCGGTCATGACCCATCCTTCATGACCATAGGTGAGGGTAGAAACGAATATGGCCCGGTAGACAGAGAGCTTTGCCTTCTGGCTCAGCTCCCTTTTCGTCACAACGGTGCGGTAAAGCGACTGCAGTACCGCTCCCGCTGCTCCGATTCTCCGGCCCATCTCACGCTCCATTGTTCCCTCACTCGAGAACAAGACCCCGAGATACTTTAACTCCTTCACTTGGGGTAAGGACTCATTCCCTACTTGAAGTGGACAGTCCATCGGTTTCCTGCTGAGAACCATGGCCTCAGATTTGGAGGTGCTGATCCTCATCCCAGCCGCTTCACACTCGGTTGCGAACCGATCCAGTGAGTGCTGAAGGTCGCAGACCGATGAAGCCATTAGAACCACATCATCTGCAAAAAGCAGTGGTGCAATCCTTAGTCCACCGAACTGCAGACCCCCTCCCCCATGACTACGCCTCGAAATCCGAGCCATGTATATTACAAACAGGATTGGTGACAAAGCGCAGCCCTGGCGGAGGCCAACCCTCACCGGAAATGGGTCCGACTTACTGCCGAGGACCCGGACACAGCTCTCGCTTTGGGAGTACAGAAACAATTTCCCTCAAAGAAAAAACCAAACATGCCCTGTTGTCTCAAGAAAGAAAGTGCAGAAGGAAACATCCATTTAAACTCAGTATGCTGCTCTGTGATGCTAGCTCAAGCAGATACTTGGCATCTCATCTTGGGTGCAGGTTCATCAATGTTTGGGGTCAGGCTCTGAGCTGAGGAGACCCTCAGGATGGAGTGAAGGTGTGCGTGCAACATACCGGCGGGCCAGATCTAATAGTAATTAGAAATTATCCTGCGGGCCGAAATTAAATCCACCAAGGGCCTGATTTGGCCCCCGGGCCTTGAGTTTGACACGTGCTATCGAGTATTCCAACTTTTTTTTAAATATTTGACATTGTGCTTTTATTCTTTAGATGCATCTCTTTCTACTGTAATCTGTATGATTACGGTTTGATTATTTATGCAACGCCTTGTTAACATGCAGCTGTAACAAAACCATTTTCCACAATAGGATCAATAAAATCTATTTTCAGGTATTATACATTTACTTATATATTTTAATTTTATGCAATGCGATGTTTCTCTTCTTCAAAACGTTTAATTGAGACTGTAAAGCACATCCGTCTGTTGTAGCTTGGAAAAATGATTTGCATAAAAAGACCACGGTACTTCCCATCCTTGGCTGTCACCTGGTCCTGTAAAGTCTCTCAGAACCAAACCAAGTAGACCACGTAGCAAATGTTTTATCTCTTTAATACAATATTTATAATAATTCAAGTATTGTCCAAGTCCACTCCTCTCATTGGGATGTTTTCAACGTGTCCCAGTGTGCTTTGGCAGAATCACCAGGAGTTTGCATGTAGCTAGTATCAACACACAGTAACAACAGTTTTTCTTCTGCAGGCGTGACGATGTCCAGTCTTTAACTCGTCTCTGGAAACTGCAGAAGTTTCTGGAATCGATGGCTGATCTCTTCGGGTCCCAAACACACCATCATCTCCGCCACACTGGGCCCCTGCTGCAGGATCAGAGGACAAACAGAGGGTCAGAGAAGTAATGCAATCAAACCACACGGCAAGAAACAGGCAGGAAAAGCAATCCATTTCTACTTCCTCTTTCAAGATTTCTCTGTAAATATCTGCACGGTTACTGCGGTGAATGAGTCAAAGTAGGTTTTCTGAGGCTTGAGTCATCACTAGCATTTTGAAACGTGCTATTCTAGGGTTTAGCTCAGTCATGGAAAGATGTTTAAAAATAAAGTGGGACATGTGAGATAATAGTCCTGCAAGATTTGACAGCAAAATAAATACATTTGCTTAGTTAGTGTTTGCAAATATAATTGCAGAAATGAAAATTGCGGGGTTAGCTGTAATAAAGATTGAAGGATGTTATCAGTTCCTCTAAGAGTAACAATGTGACGTGGATGTGGTGTTCTTGAGGTAAGCAAATACAAACGTAAGCTTCTGGAAAAACAAACAGAATCATTTCATTTGTTAACTTTAAGTGCAGTCTGCAGAAGGAAAAGCTAGATTTGATTTCAGGTCCTCAAAATGGTTCTTAAATGAAGAGCCCATCCTGTCTTTGCATCAAATGGTAATGAATGAAATAATTCCCAAGCTTTTACCTAGATAATGGCACAAACATGTTGAGGGGACTGAACAAAACGGCAGACTCCACATCACTTGAGGACTGGATGAATTGTAAGATAACAGTTAGAGGAGAGTTTTTCTGGAGCTGTTTTTATGCTACATTGCGGCTACATGACTCACATTACATCTCAACCATCAACATAGCCTTGAGTCAAGCTGAGATGAGGCTGCTGATGTCATACCAGCTAACTTATTTATAACCACCAGATTTGAATCATTTTCAAACTTGTAGTCTTCAGCAAAAACAGACACTCATTCATGTGATCTCACTCTTAATTGATCAGATGTTGTGCAGCTCCTTCATATGTATTTTCTCTTTGCTTTTTCCATGAACATTTCCCCCAACATGTACACTTGGCTCACTGGATTCATCCTACTTCTCTCAGTTCTGGAGAGTTTTAGAATGTTGTTTGCAATCCTTTTGCTCAAAGCACCTGGAATATGACGTGAATTGTCAATAATAAGAATTGTTCAAGTTGTTCAACATCAGAGCCGGAAAGAATTTTCTTAAAGGTCCCATGTCATGGCCATTTCTACTGATCATAATTCCATTGCTACTAGAATAAATGTATATTGTGCAATGTTCCAAACTCACATTGGTTTCTCATACAGCATCTCTGTATAGTATGTGTATTCACTCTCTGTCCTAAACGGCTTGTTGGAGCTCCTGCCCCCCCCCTTATTTGAAGGCCAATCAAACTAGGAAGTTGCCATTTAGTTAAAGCCTACTGTCTTTTCTGTGATCAGGAAATGTAGAAGGATTCACAAACAGAGCTGCTGGTGAAGCTCTGGGTTAAAGAAAGATGACATTCAAAACTAACTACCTCTGCTAATCCAATGTCAGGTAGAAAACCCTGTGATGTTTGTACAGTTTATAAACGACCATGGTGCCTTCAGGTACCTGCAGACCGCTGAGAGCCAGGCGCAGAAGCTTCATCACTTCTCCGTGCTTGACGCCTTTCGTTTGCTTCACCAGAGTCTTCAGATCTTTACTGAGTCGATCCACCGTGAGCTCCTCGCCGCGCTCTGCTATCAACCTGCAACACACACACACACACCAATGTTCATATTCCTGTAGTTGTAGGGTATAGTCAGTGGTACAAAGTACTTTTACTTAAGTAATGTTGAAGCGTCTAATCTTGGGTTATAAAATGTCTGAAGCCACTTGAAGTCATGTGAGTTTCTGACTGTCATTTGGTTCCACTTGAAAAATTATGATTTATTAAACAATAAACTCCAGTTGACTTTCCAGAAAAAACAAACTATTCATCCAAAATCCAAATATAATAATGTGCAAAAATACTTAAAACAATGTGCAAAATAATGTGATCTAATATATAGAATAAAGCACTAAATAATGTGGTTGGAAAACTGTAGGCCTTTCACCATCTAACCCAAAATCACAGTTACATGTATAGTATGAGTATTTCCACCACATTTAAACGTGTAGTCAGAGACTTTAAATTCGACATACTTCAGCACTAAAGCAGCGATGTGTTGAGTCTCTGCAGTGATCGCTGCCACCTGCTGGCTGGAGAGAGACGGACGAACCCACAGGTAAGAGTAGGCAGGACCGACAAGCTCCTTCAGAGAGGAGATGTGACCCTGCAGAGAGGAAGAGGACAGCTTCAGTTTGAGTGGAGACACACGTGTGGAGCAGTGTTAAGACATAAGAGCAGAGGCCACATTGAGAGTCCCTTAGGAGAAGA